CAGCAACCTCAAACTCCTGGGCTCAAGCAATCCTCCTCCTGCCTCAGCCTCCCGAGTAGCTGGGACTACAGGCATGCGCCACCATGCCCGGCTAATTTTTTGTATATATATTTTTTAGTTGGTCAATTAATTTATTTCTATTTTTGGTAGAGACGGGGGTCTCGCTCAGGCTGGTTTTGAACTCCTGACCTTGAGCAATCCGCCCGCCTCGGCCTCCCAAGAGCTAGGATTACAGGCGTGAGCCACAGCGCCCGGCCAGAAACATTCTTAAGAGTTTTGAGGAACTAGTTAGAACTTATCCAAGTTTGAGGAGAGGGTGTGCATCTCGGGGACCATGAACAGGTAAGTGGAGGCATGGGTTTGGGGACCTGCGCCTACACTGATCTGGCTAAATAAAGGGACTGCCTGTTCATTATGGAAAATCCAGGCAAAATACTTAGCAGAAATCAGATAAGAACTTTAGCCTGAAGCACACCAAGATTTAATGTGACTGCAGTTTTCCAACTTTCTATTTTCTTTTTTGAGACAGGATCTCACTCTGTTACCCAGGATGGAGTGCAGTAGTGTGATCATAGCTCACTGCTGCCTTGGCCTCCCTATTTGGTAGGACTATAGGTTCATGCCACCCTACCCAGCTAATTTGTTTACTTTTTTGTAGCATCAGGGTCTTGCTATCTTGCTCAGGCTGGTCTCAAACTCCTGGCCTTAAGTGTTCCTCCTTTGGCCTGCCAAGTGCTGGGATTACAGTCATGAACCACTGTGCCCAGCCAGTTTTCAAACTTTTGAAATGGTTCTATTGTCCCCTTTCCTTGGCCAGCTACCACATATACCATTTTGGTTTTGCAGCAAAATTTGTTTCTTTCTTTCTTTCTTTTTTTTTTTTTTTTTTTGAGACAGAGTCTTACTCTGTTGCCTGGGCTAGAGTGCCGTGGTGTCAGCCTAGCTCACAGCCCTTGGGCTCAAGTGATCCTCCTGCCTCAGCCACCAGAATAGCTGAGACTACAGGCATGTACCACCATGCCCGGTTAATTTTTTCTATATATGTTTAGTTGTCCCGCTAATTTCTTTTCTTTTTTCTTTTTTTTTTAATTTCAGCATATTATGGGGGTACAAATTTTAAGGTTTCAAAAAATGCCCTTTCCCCCTCTCCCCCCACAAGTCTGAGTTTCCACCATCCCCTAGATGGTGCACATCTCACTAATTATGTATGTATATACCTGCCCCCCTCCCACCTGCTCAATACCCTATTACTGTAGTTCCTATGTGTCCACTTAGGTGCTGCTCAGTTAATACCAGTTTGCTGGTGAATACATGTGGTGCTTGTTTTTCCATTCTTGGGATACTTCACTTAGTAGTATGGGTTCCAGCTCTAACCAGGAAATGTAGATTGCTATATCACCGTTGTCTGAGTGAAGTACTCCATGGTATACATACACCACATTTTATTAATCCACTCTTGAGATGGCACTTGGGTGTTCCACAGCCTTGCATTATGAATTATGCTGCTATAAACATTCGAGTGCAGGTGTCTTTTATGTAGAGTGTCATTGGATCTTTTGGGTAGATGACAGTAGTGGAATTGCCTGGATCAAATGGTAGTCCACTTGTATCGCTTTAAGGTATCTCCATATTGCTTTCTACAGAGGTTGAACTAGTTTGCAGTCCCACCAGCAGTGTAGGAGTGTTCCTCTCTCTCCGCATCCATGCCAGCATTTATTGTTGGAGACTTTTTGATAAAGGCCATTCTCACTGGGGTTAAGTTATATCTCATTTGGTTTTGTTGCATTTCCCTGATGATTAGAGATGTTGAGCATTTTTCATATGATTGTGGCCATTCCTCTGTCTCTTTAGAAAGTTTCTGTCAAGTCCTTTGCCACTTTTTAATAGATTTGATTTCTCTGTTGATTTTTGTGTTCTATATATTCTAGTTATCAGCCCCTTATCGGAATGGCATAGGATGCAAAATTTCCCCCATTCTGTAGTTGTCTGGTACTTTCATGATTATTTTGGCTGTGAGAAGCCTTGTAGTTGATCATGTCCCATTATTATTTTGTTGCTGCTGTGATTGCCTTTGGGGACTTCTTCATAAACTCTTTGCCTAGGGCGATGTCTAGGGAGTGTTTCCAACATTTTCCTCTAGAATTTTAATAGTTTCATACCTTAGGTTTAAGTCTGTTATCTAGCATGAGTGATTTTTGTGAAGTGAAAGTAGCTGATCTCCCCCCAGGCTGGTTTTGAACTCCTGACCTCAAGCAATCCGCCCGCCTCGGCCTCCCAGAGTGCTAGGATTACAGGCGTGAGCCACCGTGCCCGGCCAACAATGGGTTTTATTTTACAAGATTCAGTAGTATTTTCATAAACAATGGTTTTATTTTACAAAATTTCAGTAGTATTACCCCTCTGTTCTTTTTTTTTTTTTTTTTTTTTTGAGACAGAGTCTCACTTTGTTGTCCAGGCTAGAGTGAGTGCCGTGTCGTCAGGCTAGCTCACAGCAACCTCAAACTCCTGGGCTCAAGTGATCCTTCTGCCTCAGCCTCCCGAGTAGCTGGGACTACAGGCATGTGCCACTATGCCTGGCTAATTTTTTATATATATATATCAGTTGGCCAATTAATTTCTTTCTGTTTATAGTAGAGA